ACAAAATAAAAAAATGCACGGCATGCATTTACCAGCAGCAACGACAACCATAATTAAAATCCTCGTATGTGGACAGTTAAATACAAACATACATGCATCTATGTACATAGTAACATGCATTTGTATGGTACATCGTACATTATACGCCTGACTTAGGAAACCTGTTTTATTGCAATTCAACCAACCAAAGGCAAAACCCCAAGAAATTACGTATCACAAATGTGTATGCACACATATACATACCTACATGTATACAAACATACATACATATGTATGTGTGTATATGCTTATAAATGTATTTATATGTATGCTGCCGCTACAGCTTTGGTCTTCTGCCCTCTCTATAGCAGCAGCGGCAACAACAATATTGTCTTCAAGTCAGGTCTTTGTTTTACACAAGCAAAGCTTACAAACAAACACTTACACATACACACACACTCGCGCGCACACACTCGCACACATATTTATAAAATGTGAACGATTTGTTTCTTGTGTGTGTTTAACCACCTGTTGTTGTAATTATTTCTACGAATCTTTATGTTTTAACGGATTCTGTATGCAAACAAACGTTGGGCCAACAAAATTGTGCACAAAATAATTTCTATCAAAGTGTAAAACAATTGAAAAGCAACAGGTAAAACTTTTAAATGCACACACACTCACACGCACACTCTGCCGCACAAATGAGCGCTTACTCATACCGCTTATGTATGTGTCTGTGCTTCGACCACAAAAGAGAAAACTACGCTTAATCCCCTACAGTAGAAGTGGTCAGGTATATGAGTTCATTGGGTTAATGTGCAAATTACTTGTTCAAATACACTAATTATACGACAGAGCATTCTAAATTAAATTACTGTTTCATGTTCATATTTAAATAATAGAATAATTTAAATGTTGTGTAAATGTACAAATTTCCTCACCATTTTATAATATTACTTTGTACATGTAGCGCACGCTTTAGGTTCATCAAGTCGTATGCTCAAATCGTAAGCGAGCAATAACTAGTTTTACGTCTGTATCACAGAAACCAGGGCTGCATGCCAAGTATTTTTTTGCTCATTAGCTTTTCCGCCTGCTTCAAATAGAGTTGCTCACTGGAAATCTGCCATTCAGTGGGATGGACATGCGCATTGCTTTGGCAGCCAACTGCAATTGGCTGCCACTTGAGCTGAGCACTGTGTGCGAGCGAGTACGCAGCCCTGGCAGGTGCAAAATGAAACGGCCTCATAACTTTTTGGTCAACGCAACGGCAGCTCGAGCCTCAGTCTCTTGCGCGTGATCGGTAAAAACAAATCGACGGACCGTGAAGGTGGTGAGGATATTCCATCGTCAGTGTCGATGTGTTTGTTGTTGTTGCTGCTGCTGCGGCTGCTGTTATCTTGCTTGTTGTAAATTTGCGCAGTAAATTAAGAAAATAAAACGAAATACGACAAAAAATAAAAATAAAATAAATTCGCGACGAGTCCGCATCACCCAAAACCGAGAGCGAGCGAGAGGGAGAGAGAGAGAGCAAAACAGGCAGTTAGTCAGGAGGAGACTGAGAGCGCGCAAAATCTAAACGGCTGTTGTTGTTACTGCTGCTGTATTAGTGTTTGTACCAGCCGCAGCGTCCCGCCATTGTTGCCGATTTTGTGATAGTTGTTGTTGTTATTATTATTATTATCTGTCCACTGTGCATCGCGTGTAACTGTAAAAACTGTGCCACAGCCGCAACTGTATAGCCTCCAGCTCCAGCTGCGCACTCTCGCCCGCATCGCATCAATTGCACTAATTTCTTCAATCAGCGCACAAGGCAAGATTCACATTTTTAACGAGTAAAACTAGCGAAAATTGTTTAACAAGTGAAAAGTATGTAGATATATGTAAATTTGGCCCATTGTCCAAATTTAGAATCTAAATCCGGAATACACTGGAAATAAATCATTTAATGAGTTGCTCCTTGCTACAGCTGTGTGTGTTGTTGTTCATTTTGCACTGTCATCTGCGAGAGAGTTTCAGTTTGTGTGGGCGAGAGAAAGAAAAATATGAGAAGAGAGTGTGTATGAGTGAGTGAGTGTGATTAAACGTTATGAGTGGGATCAAGGAGAGCGAATTCGTGTGTATTAAATTTAATATTAAAGTGAAGTTTAAAAATATTTTTGTGGTCGAATTGTAAACCAAATTATTTTTTTATCTGTTTGTTATAATGAACGGAGTGCTCTCGCACTTGCCAGAAGCGGCATCATCTATGTATGTATGTATGTTGCCGTTGTGCGCTCTAATCTCGATTTATCTCAGCAGCGAGCGGCAATCTTAACAATTGTTTATTGTGTTTCTCTTCCCCTCTCTTCCTCTCTTTGTGAGCATATGTGAGCGCTCGTGTGTATGCGTGTGTGTTGAGCTCAAATGCAAGTGAATTAAACGAAACGACTTGAAAAAGTTGAAGCTTTGCTTTTTTGTTGTTTAGTACGCAGCTGTCTCCCGACGTGTACGTTACGTGTTGGCGCCGTGGCGCTGTAGCGGTGAAAATCTGTAACTCTCTATAAAATACTGCGAAACTGTTGCAAAAAAAAAAAACGTATTTTAACATCAATTTAACGCCTTGCTAAGCAAACGGTATGCGTGGTTTTTTCAGTTAAAGAAACGCAAAGAAAAGCAAAAGTGCAAATGCAAAATTATAAATATAATTGTCTGCAGTGTGTCAGTGTGTTTGATGAAGTTTAAATTACACACTTTTTGCTATGCACGCACGCACACACGCAAGCGCAGTACGCAGTACGCAGCGCCCGCTAATTATGAAAGTTTTTATTGTTTTCTTGATTGACTTGGCCCAAAAGCGCCGCCAGTGCTTGTATTATTGTTGTTGTTGATATTGTTGTTTGTTAATCGTTTGCTTGTGCAATGGCTTAAGCCTTAAGAGACGCACATTCGTAAGCAAACATTAGTTTGTCGTTGTTTTCGGTGTTGGTTTTGCGTAAACACACCTGTGGCACACCTATTATAAATCCTAAAAGAAAGTATGCTACTGCTGGTGTGCTGCTTCAGGCCACAGAAGAAACCATAAATCAACGTTTACCAACACGTAAATAAATTATAGCATGTTATTAACGTCTGCAAGGAGAGAGAGTGAGGGAGTAGAAGATAAAGATGGCTGAGCTGAACAAAATGGTATACAACAAAAATTTCACAGTCAGTACACATAGAAGTACCGCAATAATCCCATTGTCTGTACTTTACACTCCTACGTAGTGATCTACCCCGCTCTTTCTTCCTCTTTGCCTACCTCCATGTGCTGCATTTACAATTATTACAATGCTGCGCTGTCGTTGAGTTGTGTTTGGCTTTTCTAATCTGTGCGCATAAACAGCATACGCATTCTGCATGCTAAACTCAACGAAGGGGGTTGGCTGCGTCGTTGACTTCCGTGAAGCTGTCAGCGTCTGCGTCTGCGTCAACGTCAGCGTCCACATAGACGTCGCGACGTCATTGCGGTTTGGCTACGAATTGTCGACATTATCTCTTTTGTTGTTCGTCGCAGTTGACGCTGGTGTCAGCTGAGCGCTGCGTCTGCTTATGTATTTTGATCAATTTTTTTTTTTTTAATATTTTTAATTTTAATTTGATTGCGCAGCAGTCAGCGGCAACGACGGCAGCGGCAGCGGCGACGGCGGCTCCATAATTCCGCACACAATTGCCATGCCAAATACAGGGTGTTACACTTTTCATTTCGTTTCGTTAAGCTACGCTGTGCTATTTTTGTGTCGTTGTTGCTGCTTTTGTTGATTGTTGTTGTTGTCGCCGCTTTTGGATAATTTTGCTTTCGCTTTTGTGCCATTATTGCCGTTGCTGTTGTTGTTGCTGCTGTTGCCTAATACCTCGCTGCCAGTTCCCAAATCAGCTTCAAAATAAATCAAACTCATGTCCATGCATACAGTGCGCATACGTTATAGTGCATAGTCGATAAAACCTGTTTGCTGGGAGTCCCCTTAAAAAATGAAGATTTGGCCAAAACAAAAACAGAATTGCGAAAATAAATACATTTTCTTAAGCTTTAAGAACAATGAGTAAAATAATAAACAAGCTTAGACTCCGTTGCAGCGTATTTCTACTGTATGTACATATATGAACAATGGTTTATTTATTATATTTAGCAAGATTTTTCTTAATTATGAGACACAGTAGGTGAAAAAAAAAAGAAACAACACGAAATGTGAGAACTGCACGAGAATCTCATAAAATATTTCTTGCTTTTTATTAATACCAACTTTGGTCAACTTCATGTTTGTGTGTGTGTGTGTGTTTGCGTGTGTTATTGTGTGCAGTTGCTTCTGAGAAACTCTGGCTTATTGTTGTCTTGGCTTTGTCTTTAAAGGCCGCACTGTGACGTCAAAGCCAGCTGATTGTTGATGTAAGCCAGTGTTGCGCAAGTTAGCTGATGAAAAGGCCATAAAGAAGCTAAATGTGAAACTTAACAAAAAGTAATGAAGGCATCTTAACTATGATTTAGTAAACTTATATGTAATGGTGTTTAGCTAAAAAAGTGCCAAAAAAAAAAAAAAAAAAAAAATAGCCAAATCTTGCATACAGAAAAAGCTTGTGAAAATTCTAGCCAAGTGCGCATCACTGTCTTCTAGCACATAGAACTTGCTAATGCTATTTTAGCGCTTACTGCTGACGGCTGCATGAGCAACTGGTTTAGCTGACGCTTGACGAATGTACATACATATATAAGTAAATATATATGTATGTTTGTGTGGATGCAGATGCACTGGGGGATTGGCTTACCAGCTGGCAAGGAATGCATTCAGATTCATTGCAAGTTGTATAACGAACGAATTAATTAGTAATGGCAAATGTCTGGGGACAAGACGTTTGGAATTTATTTTTATACATATTTTTTGTTTTTGCAAATTAAGTTTCCGCTGACAAAACAAAAGGGAAAAACCCCGCACGACAAACAATGGAAAATCGCCAATCGAGCAAAGTTCTAAACGAAATTTTTATCTCCCATTTTACAGAGTTGAACTGAGCTGAGCCAAGCTGAGCTGAGCAGATCAAAACGACGAAAACCCTAAAGAGATAAAACGGAAAAACGGCCAAGCACAGCAAAGTGAGAGCGGGAGAGATGCCTTATCAGCCAGCGGGCAATAACGGCAGCGGCGGCAGCGTCAGCAGCGCCAGCAGCAAAGCTGCTGCAAAAATGTCGCAGCTCAAGTTCTGGAACAAGCAGAACAGCAGCAAGCAGCAGGACAAGCAACTGCAACAGCTACAAGACTCATCCGACGGCTGCGATGCGAACGGCAACGGCAGCGGCGGCAACAACAGCGCCAGCAACGGCAGCGGCAGCGGCGGCAACTCCAAGGGCGACTCGAAGAGCGGCAAGCGCAATTGGCTGCACACGCCGGAGCAGCTCATCAATGGACATGCGGTCTATCTAGTCAAGGTGAGAGGGATGAAGAAAGAGAGTGATAGAATGAGGGGGAAGGGGTAGGGGGAAATTAAATAAATACCCTGTAAATGAAGGGAAAGAGAGAGAGAGACAGAGAGAGAAGTCTGAATGTACTGTGTAATGTAATAGATAATAGCAGTAGAGAGTGAGACAGACAGACAGAGAGAGAGAGAGAGAGAGAGAGAGAGAGAGAGAGAGAGAGAGAAAGAGAGAGAGGGAGAGAGAGAGAGAGGGGGAGAGAGAGAGAGAGAGAAGAAAGGGCATACTCAGAAAATACACTATCAAGATCAAGCAGTAGAGGGAGTCGAATCTGCTTATTAAATACTATAAATCTAGTCAAATTGAAGGTCACTTCATATGTCTGAAGTATAATTGCATTAATGCATTATTTAGTGTTGTACACCCCGTAAAAAGTGTTTTAGGGACTTCTTAATCTTTCGATAAAGCTGTATAATGAATAAATCAAGTCTATATGGATAAATATAAAAATAAATATATATAGGGTATAGGCAATGTGTATATCCTACAGAGAATGCTAGAAACATGGTATATGTTATATAGAAACATGGTATATGGGATCGAAGGTTCGAGAACTTACTTATCCATATTTAATTGGTACAAGTTTAAGTCTGAGAACGATTCATAGAGAGAGATAAAAGAAATCTAAAGTTAACAAGAAATTAATTGTCTATGAAGAATAAGGATCTAAGCAGAAATATGCTATAGGGCATCTGCTAGTAAAAAGGTCCCTTTTCTAATATGCCAGCTTCTATCTCTACATCTGCAGTTCTTTGGTAACCTGAGCGTGGACCAACCCAAAGGCATCGAAGTGGTCAAGGATGCAATACGTAAATTACAATTCGCCCAACAGATGAAGAAGGCGGAAACGGGAACACAGGAGAAATTTAAGAAACTGGAGATTACGATTAGCATCAAGGGCGTGGCCATACAGGAGCCGCGCACACACAAAATACTTCATCAGTTTCCGCTGTACAACATCTCGTACTGTGCGGACGAGAAGGGCGTGAAAAAGTTCTTTAGCTTCATTGCCAAGACAATCAAGACGAAAGATAATGGCGCAACAGACACAAACGGCTACAATTCGAATGGCAACGCGAAGCCGGAGGAGACGCACGAGTGCTTTGTCTTCATATCAAACAAATTGGCCTCGGACATTACGTTGACCATTGGCCAGGCCTTCGATTTGGCCTACAGGTGGGTTTGGCTTACCTTTAGCTATTCAATTGGCATTGGAAATGTATGAGAATTAGTTTAGAGTTGTTACCATTAGATTCAGTTCTCTGGCTCTTATAGCTTACCCTGTGTGTTGTTCATCAATCATTCAGTCTATCAATCATTATGAATTGGCTGGCATTTCATTTAGGTATTCATATTTTCTCAGTATTTCTCTCTGAAATCAGATGCAGGCTTTTAGCTCCTACAGTTCAAGCTGTGCTTCAATCATCAATCGTTCTTTCAATCAGTCAATCCGGTTTCAATTTCAATGCAGTCAGCATTCGATTTTCTACTTCATTTTATGAAAACGAAAAACTTAGCTATAGCTTGCTAGCTTAGTTTTACCAATCATCAATCAGTCAATCAATCACTCACTTCTTTTCTTTCCTCTGCACAGAAAATTCATGGACAGCAATGAGAAGACAAATCTACACAAGGCGCAGCAACAAATTGCGCATCTGCAGCAGACAATTTCGATATACAAAGAGCGACTGCGCGAACTGTCGAACAAATTGCCAAAGGGCGAGCTGGATGCAATGCTCTATAAGCTGGGCGTCAAGGATATTGTCGAGGTGCCCAGCCAGGAGCTGAATGGCACCGAACAGCTGAGCAATGGCAAGCTGGGTAAGTCTTGATTGATCATGCAAACGTAGAATTCAATTAAACCTTTCAATCATTTTGGTCAGATGAGGACAAGTTGCTGATTGATACCAATTCGATGACCGCCTCCTCGACACATTCGTCGTCCCCCAATTCGTTCTTGCCAATTGTGCCGCCGCGGAGCAATCTGTCCAGCCAGATGAGCAGCAGCAGCAGCGGCGGTGGTGGCAAGAGCAATAGCCAGAAAATGGACGAGCTGCTCTTGAATTCGGATTCGGATAGTGATTTCGATCCACGGGCCGATGAGATACAGGATAATCTGAGCAATGGACGTAATGCCATTAGCAACGATCTGTTTGGCTTTGAGCCATCCAAGAGCTTTGGCCAGCAGCTTTTCTTCAACAACAACAACAACAACAACAGTAGCCTAAATAACAACAACAGCAGTCTAAATAACAACAACAACAACAACAGCATCAACAGCAGCGGCTTCTCCAGCGAGCTGAACATCACGCCACCTCTATGTAGGTCCATTTCAAATGTATTGAGAGTGATCAATCAATAACTGTTCATTTCTTTGCATGATTGATCAACAGTGGCACCGCCGCCAAAGATTGCGGCACCACGTCGCAGCACCTCGGTGTCCAATAGCGGCAACAATGGCTTGAATGGCAATACGGATCTGTTTGGCTCCGATCCATTCGAAATGAACAACGGGCCCAGCGTGTTCAAGGTGAGCTTTGATTGAGGGAGTGATTGACAGGCTGAAGAATCCACAGGAATTCAGAAGAACAATTCGATATAGAGGATTGATGGCATGATTGACTGGAGATTAGCAATTCGATTTTGGATTGTAGTGAATTAGTTGAGGGAGTGATATGATTGACTGAAGATGTATGACTGATGAAACATGATTATATAGCCTTATAAAGCCCTAGAAATATACACCAAATGCCACAGTTATTTATATATAATCTATATATGTTTGCAGAGTCAACTTAACATTGATGACTTCTCATTGGAGAGTTTGGATCCGTTGCGCAAGTGAAGGAGAAAGAGGAAGGGGAAGAGGAAGAGGAAGAGCGGCGGCGGCAGCAGTAGATCGAAAGCGGTGCTAACCACGCCATTTGCTGCAATATCGATCGATCCGAATGAAAAGTTGTGTTACTATATATATGAGCGTATACAGTTTATAGCTATTTATAGCCTATTTGCAATTTACATATATATATAGAGATATTTATATATGTATATATAATTGCCTGCTGCGTAAGGAGAAATTGTTCGTTGAGATATTTTTTGAGTTTCGCGCTTGATTTATAAATATATGTGTATTATTGTTTATATAATTTTATATTGCATATTATGTATGATTATTAA